AGCGGATGAGGAGATCCAGACATTCCTGAAAGAGCAAACAGAAAAATTCAACATCATGAAGGGATGCAGTACAGCGGCGACACAAGACTTATGTCAAGGATGAAATGTCGGTAAGACAGCGGTACTAACCTCGGAACCCAAAACAACAGGCCATCATAAACAAACAAGTTGATGAACTGACCAGTTGCCACCGTTTTTTTGTGGCGCACGTCTTCAACGGCTGTCAATTATGTCTTGCAGATTCGGTACTCCTTTCAACAAGTCGTTGAGAGTCAATGGGGCTTCCTGATCCACTGTGACTGGCAAGTGCGTTAGTTAATTCTCCAGAGTGTGTTCGCTGGTACCATCGGGTACTGAAAGGCACACATGCACACACATGCACACATGTAAAAATATAAAAAACCCGTTTGCAATCACCAAGGTAAACTCACGCGACATCTCTTTCTCGTCAGTTGCTTCCGGGCGGTAACTACTACTCGAGGAACTCTTCGGCCAATTCTCTTCCGGTTTTCGTAGGAACGCCGGTCCGCATAACCATCGTGACCCATGACTTAGATCGACATGGCGTTATGGCCTGGTTGCGTCGTCTGCCACGTTTTCTACTCATCTCCATTGGGATACTTCCGTCGACTCCAGGATTTCTGACACCATTGTTTCCTACGAACTGCTTGTATCGCCGGTGGGTTTTTTTTTATTAGTGGTGGTTTAAAGCCTCGAAAGCCAACTCGGAGCTGGGTTAGCTTGCCGAAGTCTGGGACTCTAAACCAGTAAAAACTCCCCTTCCCGTTTCCCTGGCGGTACTGCCGTTAGGTATTACTCCGTCGGGGGGAATGCCCTTAGGGCTCTCTTGGATTCTATCCCATTGGAATTTCGCAGTCTTTCTGCGATGCGGAGTTTTTTGAGTACTATTGTAGCCATGTTGCTTACAGCGGACCAATTTACTTCAGATTCAAGCATAATTTCCACCAGGTTACAAGAGGCTGGCGTCCTCCCAACCCTTATGCTCAGATCTAGATGTTCATTTTCAAATCTCGGACAGACAAAAAAAACATGTGTTGCGTCTTCGTTATCCGACTCGCAGAGTGGGCAGTGTGGATAGCTTCATGCTTAAACCTATTCAGATAGTATTTAATGCATCCGTATCCTGTCAGAAGTTACGTTAAGTAGTAGTCCACAAGTCCATGCTTACGTCCCAGCCATCTCTGCAGATCTGGGATGAGCTTATACGTCCATCGTCCTTTGCTGTTATTTACCCACCTCTCTTGCCACTTAGAATTGGTGAGTTCTCTGCACCTTTTGCGTAGGGATTCAACGGTGACGTGACATTGGCCGTTGCTACTATGTCTACGTTATCCGCAAAGCCAATCAGTAGGTCCCCTTCCGGCATAATAATCCTAAGAATCCCGTCGTACATGACGTTCCACAGCAGAGGGCCAAGGCCTGATCCTTGGCGAACTCCGCCCGTTTAGGTTGCTCAGTGCATTTATTGTGTGATGCCAGCTAGCGGAGTTGAATGCGTTCTTAACATCCAGAGTTGCAGCTATGCAATACTGCTTAGTGCTGTACAACCACCTTTTTCCCTCAATGGCAGTTCATCAACTTGTTTGTTTATGATGGCCTGTTGTTTTGGGTTCCGAGGTTAGTACCGCTGTCTTACCGACATTTCATCCTTGACATAAGTCTTGTGTCGCCGCTGTACTGCATCCCTTCATGATGTTGAATTTTTCTGTTTGCTCTTCCAGGAGATGGGTACCCCAATGGAGATGGGTACCCACTGCCGAAAACGTGGCAGACGACGCAACCAGGCCGCAACGCCATGTCGATCTAAGTCAAGGGTCATGATGGGTATGCGGACCGGCGTTCCTACGAAAAACGGAAGAGAATTGGACGAAGAGTTCCTCGAGTAGTAGTTGCCGCCCGGAAGCAACTGACCAGGAAGAGATGCCGTGTGAGTTTACCTTGGTGACTGCAAACGGGTTTTTTATATCTTTACATGTGTGCATGTGTGCTTTACTCTACCCGATGGTACCGCCGAACACGTTCTGGAGACCCCACTAACGCACTTGCCAGTCACAGTGGATCAGGAAGCCCCACTGACTACTATCGACTTGTTGAAAGGAGTACCGAATCTGCAAGACATAATGGACAGCCGTTGAAGACGTGCGCCACAAAAAAACGGTGGCAACTGATCAGTTCATCCACTTGTTTGTTTATGATGGCCTGTTGTTTTCGGTTTCGAGGTTAGTACCGCTGTTTTAACGACTTTTCATCCTTGAAATAAGTCTTGTGTCGCCGTTCTACTGCATCCCTTCATGTTCTTGAATTTTTCTGTTTGCTCTTCCAGAAATGTCTGGATCTCCTCTTCCGCTCGTTCCGTTCCCGCTCCCGCTTGATTTGCTCCGTCCTGTCTGGGCACTTTGCGAGGCTCTGTTACGTCCACTTCTAGATTGCCGCACTGGATTCTCGTACCTGTCATTGTCAGAAAATCCATTCCAATCCAACAACATTCCGCCTGTGACCCGCTCTAGCACCAGGAACATCAACTCGAACTGCTCGCCCGAATATCGTATGGGTATGGTAAAATCCCCGTTTTCTAGGCAGGCAGGATTCCTATATGCGCCCCTTTCGTTTATTGAAGGCTGGAACCTGCGCACTGTGATCCATCTTCCTCGATAGGTTCATTGCCCGTCCCAAAGTACTGATTTAGGTCCCCTACTTAGGCTCGCGTTAAACTTGCATTAAGCTTTTCCGCTGCGTTCAACAATAAGTGTGTTCTGCACGACACCAGTTTCCCTACGCTGGGTTTCCACGCTCTTTTCCGCAAGTCGTAATGCCGTTTCTGGGTTTCCGCTGCTTCTTCCATATTCTTATGTGCCTTCGACCGGATCTTCTTCAGCCTCTCCCATCTGCTTGAGACCGACTCCTTTACCAGACCAGAGCCTTGGGTGACCCTATCAAAAAGTGTTCCGGGGAGACGCAACTCCTTCCCATAGAGCAACTGCGACGGGATATAACCTGTTGATTCCAAAGTGCTACTGTTATATGCCAGGATCAACTCCGGCAGATCCTCCCGTCCCATTTGGTCTGTTCCTCTCCGGTTGGTGCGCTCCGTAGGGTTCTGTTGCGATGTTAATGGTGCTGTAAACTGCTGCTGTAGCCCCCAGCGGTCTATGGCTGTCTTCGTCTTCTTCCCTGTGAATTGCACTCCATTGTCAGATATCAGGACCTTCGGCGCTCCGATCCTTGTTATAACTCTTTTCCGGAATATCCTCAACAATGCGTCTGCTGTCACCTGTCGCACCGCCGCTATCTCCACCCACTTTGAGAATTTCCATTATGACCACTAGCGTGGTATTCCCATGCTATGTTCGGGGTAGTGGGCACACGAAGTCCACGCATAGTGTCTCCTACGGAGCGGTGGCGATCTTTGCGTAAAGCCCGCAAGTGCCGAAGAAGTGCTCGGAGAACTAGAGAAAATACTGGATGACAAGGCACCGGATGCATTAAATACTATCTGAATAGGTTTAAGAATGAACGCTATCCACACTGCCCACTCTGCGAGAGATGTCGTGTGAGTTTACCTTGGTGATTGCAAACGGGTTTTTTATATTTTTACATGTGTGCATGTGTGCTGCATGTGTGCCTTTCAGTACCCGATGGTACCAGCGAACACACTCTGGAGAATTAACTAACGCACTTGCCAGTCACAGTGGATCAGGAAGCCCCATTGACTCTCAACGACTTGTTGAAAGGAGTACCGAATCTGCAAGACATAATTGACAGCCGTTGAAGACGTGCGCCACAAAAAAACGGTGGCAACTGGTCAGTTCATCAACTTGTTTGTTTATGATGGCCTGTTGTTTTGGGTTCCGAGGTTAGTACCGCTGTCTTACCGACATTTCATCCTTGACATAAGTCTTGTGTCGCCGCTGTACTGCATCCCTTCATGATGTTGAATTTTTCTGTTTGCTCTTTCAGGAATGTCTGGATCTCCTCATCCGCTCGTTCCGTTCCCGCTCCCGCTTGATTTGCTCCGTCCTGTCTGGGCACTCGACGGAAGTATCCCAATGGAGATGGCTACCCACTGCCGAAAACGTGGCAGACGATGCAACCAGGCCGCAACGCCATGTCGATCTAAGTCAAGGGTCACGATGGTTATGCGGACCGGCGTTCCTACGAAAACCGGAAGAGAATTGGACGAAGAGTTCCTCGAGTAGTAGTTGCCGCCCGGAAGCAACTGACCAGGAAGAGATGCCGTGTGAGTTTACCTTGGTGACTGCAAACGGGTTTTTTATATCTTTACATGTGTGCATGTGTGCTTTACTGTACCCGATGGTACCGCCGAACACGTTCTGGAGAACCCACTAACGCACTTGCCAGTCACAGTGGATCAGGAAGCCCCACTGACTCCCATCGACTTCTTGAAAGGAGTACCGAATCTGCAAGACATAATGGACAGCCGTTGGAGCGGTGCGCCACAAAACAACGGTAGCATCTGATCAGTTCATCCACTTGTTTGTTTATGATGGCCTGTTGTTTTCGGTTTCTTTTCATCCTTGAAATAAGTCTTGTGTCGCCGTTGTACTGCATCCCTTCATGTTCTTGAATTTTTCTGTTTGATCTTCCAGGAATGTCTGGATCTCCTCTTCCGCTCGTTCCGTTCCCGCTCCCGCTTGATTTGCTCCGTCCTGTCTGGGTACTTTGCGAGGTTCTGTTACGTCCACTTCTAGATTGCCGCACTGGATTCTCGTACCTGTCATTGTCAGAAAATCCATTCCAATCCAACAACATTCCGCCTGTGACCCGCTCTAGCACCAGGAACATCAACTCGAACTGCTCGCCCGAATATCGTATGGGTATGGTAAAATCCCCGTTTTCTAGGCAGTCCGGATTCCTATATGCGCCCCTTTCGTTTATTGAAGGCTGGAACCTGCGCACTGTGATCCATCTTCCTCGATTGGTTCATTGCCCGTCCCAAAGTACTGATTTAGGTCCCCTACTTAGGCTCGCGTTAATCTTGCATTAAGCTTTTCCGCTGCGTTCAACAATAAGTGTGTTCTGCACGACACCAGTTTCCCTACGCTGGGTTTCCACGCTCTTTTCCGCAAGTCGTAATGCCGTTTCTGGGTTTCCGCTGCTTCTTCCATATTCTTATGTGCCTTCGACCGGATCTTCTTCAGCCTCTCCCATCTGCTTGAGAGTGACTCCTTTACCAGACCAGAGCCTTGGGTGACCCTATCAAAAAGTGTTCCGGGGAGACGCAACTCCTTCCCGTAGAGCAACTGCGACGGGATATAACCTGTTGATTCCAAAGTGCTACTGTTATATGCCAGGATCAACTCCGGCAGATCCTCCCGTCCCATTTGGTCTGTTCCTCTCCGGTTGGTGCGCTCCGTAGGTTTCTGTTGCGATGTTAATGGTGCTGTAAACTGCTGCTGTAGCCCCCAGCGGTCTATGGCTGTCTTCGTCTTCTTCCCTGTGAATTGCACTCCATTGTCAGATATCAGGACCTTCGGCGCTCCGATCCTTGTTATAACTCTTTTCCGGAATATCCTCAACATTGCGTCTGCTGTCACCTGTCGCACCGCCGCTATCTCCACCCACTTTGAGAATTTTTATTATGACCACTAGCGTGGTATTCCCATGCTATGTTCGGGGTAGTGGGCACACGAAGTCCACGCATAGTGCCTCCTACGGAGCGGTGGCGATCTTTGTTAGCATGTTTCCGGCTGCCAGTTTTTACGACGTCTTGTATCGCTGGCAGGTTTTTCAATTTCTGACGAATTTTACGATATCCGTTTTCATTCCTGGCCAGAAATACGGTTTTATAATTCTCGTGGTAGTTTTTAACGTGCCTAGATGGCCCGCCGCTGCCTAGCAATGGTTCTCCCGCCCTACGCTTTAAACATCGTCCTCCGCGACACATAGTTTCTCGAGAGCTCCTTTTATTTTGCCTGTCGCCTTCAATCCTGTAGTCCTCGCTTCGAGTTTCCTGTAGACATTCCTCGTAATTTGTCATCAGCTATTCCTGTCTTGTCCGCACCATTTTTATCCCATATTTTGGCGCGCGTGATAGTGCGTCCGTCACGGTGCTCAACTTTCCCTTCCGGTACCTAACCTCGAACTAGAATGGTTGCAGCCCCAGCGCCCATCTGGCTACTCTCCAAGATGGGCTCTCTATGTAACTTAACCATTTCAGGGCCTGATGGTCGGTCACAACCACGAATTCTTAGTCTTCCAGATACATCCAATACATGTTGATGCTCCAGTATATGGCAAGGCACTCTTTTTCCGTGGAGCTGTAATTCTGCTCTGCTTTGCTCAATGCCGTGCTGGCGTAAGCTATGACGTGCTCACCTTCCAGGCATTCCTGGGTCAGCACTGCCCCTACCCCAAAATCCTTTGCGTCTGTCTGCATCACGAACTGTCTTGTGAAGTTTGGGCATGACAGTTCCGGCGCCTGGGTTAAACTGGTGTTTATTCGGTGGAACGCCTCCTGTTGCCGTGGTTACCAGTCGACTTTCTTTCCTTCCTCGTTAGCTCCTGTAGCGGGTCAGCTTGCTCTGTAAACCCTGGGATGAATCTTCTGTACAACGACTCCATTCTTAGGAAGCTGTGAACCTCCTTCTTTGTGGTTGGCGTTGGCAGTTCGCTTATCGCCGCCACCTTATTCGGGTCTGTCCGGTGCCGTGGTGAACCCGAACGGTATCACCCTCCACTGGAATAAACCTCTTCCGGGTACTGTAAACGCAGTATATTGCTTACTGCCACTGTGCATTAGTATTTGCCATCCCGAATTTAGTCTATGGTACTAATGAACTTGGGCTTCCTAAGCTGGTTTAAAATTAAATCCATTCTCGGCACCAGGTACGCGTCCTCCTCTGTTTTTTTCGTTCAGTAGACGGTCCAGGAACTTCAACTCGAACTGCTCGCCCGAAAATCGTATGGGTATGGTAAAAGAGTCGCTATGAGTTGCTGTAGTGCGATGCTGTAACTGTCAGGCAGCCTCATCCCGTCATCCTTCCATAGCAGCCCAATCTGGTATAGTTCACCTATCCGCTTAGCCGTTCCCTAAAAGATGTCCAGGGCCCGTTCATCGTCTCTGGCTGTAACCGGTGGCGCTGGCTTCACTCCGAAGTTTTTCTGCTGGAAAATCGCTCACCTTCGTGGCGAACTATACAATCCTGTCTATGTTGTGCTCCTGAATTGGCTGTAGCTCTCGCACACTCTCCAGTTGACTCTGAGTCAATTGCGTAGCTGCTTCATTACGGCCTGTATGTTGTTCGAATGAATAAGCAGTGATTTAACTGCCGTCCTCGCTTCACCCTTCAGGGCAATCCTACGAAAACCGGGAGAATTGGACGAGTAGTAGTTGCCGCCCGGAAGCAACTGACGAGGAAGAGATGCCGTGTGAGTTTACCTTGATGACTGCAAACGGGTTTTTATATCTTTACATGTGTGCATGTGTGCTTTACTGTACTCGATGGTACCGCCGAACACGTTCTGGAGAACCCACTAATGCACTTGCCAGTCACAGTGGATCAGGAAGCCCCACTGACTCCCATCGACTTGTTGAAAGGAGTACCGAATCTGCAAGACATAATAAACAGCCGTTGTAGCGGTGCGCCACAAAAAAATGGTGGCAACTGGTCAGTTCATCTACTTGTTTGTTTATGATGGCCTGTTGTTTTCGGTTTCGAGGTTAGTACCGCTGTTTTACCGACTTTTCATCCTTGACATAAGTCTTGTGTCGCCGTTGTACTGCATCCCTTCATGTTCTTGAACTATTCTGTTTGATCTTCCAGGAATGCCTGGATCTCCTCTTCCACTCGTTCCGTTCACGCTCCTAGATTTGCTCCGTCCTGTCTGGTCACTTTACGAGGCTCTGTTAAGTCCACTTCTAGATTGCCGCACTGGATTCTCGTGCCTGTCATTGTCAGAAAATCCATTTAAATCCAACAACATTCCGCCTGTTACCAGCTCTAGCACCAGGAACATCAACTCGAACTGCTCGCCCCGAATATCGTATGGGTAGTGGTAGTGGTGGGTGGTAAAATCCCCTTTTTCTAGGCAGTCGGGATTCCTATATGCGCCCCTTTCGTTTATTGAAGGCTGGAACCTGCGCACTGTGATCCATCTTCCTCGATTGGTTCATTGCCCGTCCCAAAGTACTGATTTAGGTCCCCTACTTAGGCTCGCGTTAAACTTGCATTAAGCTTTTCCGCTGCGTTCAACAATAAGTGTGTTCTGCACGACACCAGTTTCCCTACGCTGGGTTTCCACGCTCTTTTCCGCAAGTCGTAATGCCGTTTCTGGGTTTCCGCTGCTTCTTCCATATTCTTATGTGCCTTCGACCGGATCTTCTTCAGCCTCTCCCATCTGCTTGAGACCGACTCCTTTACCAGACCAGAGCCTTGGGTGACCCTATCAAAAAGTGTTCCGGGGAGACGCAACTCCTTCCCAAAGAGCAACTGCGACGGGATATAACCTGTTGATTCCAAAGTGCTACTGTTATATGCCAGGATCAACTCCGGCAGATCCTCCAGTCCCATTTGGTCTGTTCCTCTCCGGTTGGTGCGCTCCGTAGGGTTCTGTTGCGATGTTAATGGTGTTGTAAACTGCTGCTGTAGCCCCCAGCGGTCTATGGCTGTCTTCGTCTTCTTCCCTGTGAATTGCACTCCATTGTCAGATATCAGGACCTTCGGCGCTCCGATCCTTGTTATAACTCTTTTCCGGAATATCCTCAACAATGCGTCTGCTGTCACCTGTCGCACCGCCGCTATCTCCACCCACTTTGAGAATTTCCATTATGACCACTAGCGTGGTATTCCCATGCTATGTTCGGGGTAGTGGGCACACGAAGTCCACGCATAGTGTCTCCTACGGAGCGGTGGCGATCTTTGCGTAAAGCCCGCAAGTGCCGAAGAAGTGCTCGGAGAACTAGAGAAAATACTGGATGACAAGGCACCGGATGCATTAAATACTATCTGAATAGGTTTAAGCATGAACGCTATCCACACTGCCCACTCTGCGAGAGATGACGTGTGAGTTTACCTTGGTGATTGCAAACGGGTTTTTTATATTTTTACATGTGTGCATGTGTGCTGCATGTGTGCCTTTCAGTACCCGATGGTACCAGCGAACACACTCTGGAGAATTAACTAACGCACTTGCCAGTCACAGTGGATCAGGAAGCCCCATTGACTCTCAACGACTTGTTGAAAGGAGTACCGAATCTGCAAGACATAATTGACAGCCGTTGAAGACGTGCGCCACAAAAAACGGTGGCAACTGGTCAGTTCATCAACTTGTTTGTTTATGATGGCCTGTTGTTTTGGGTTTCGAGGTTAGTACCGCTGTTTTACCGACTTTTCATCCTTGACATAAGTCTTGTGTCGCCGTTGTACTGCATCCCTTCATGTTCTTGAACTTTTCTGTTTGATCTTCCAGGAATGTCTGGATCTCCTCTTCCGCTCGTTCCGTTCCCGCTCCCGCTTGATTTGCTCCGTCCTGTCTGGGCACTTTGCGAGGCTCTGTTACGTCCACTTCTAGATTGCCGCACTGGATTCTCGTACCTGTCATTGTCAGAAAATCCATTCCAATCCAACAACATTCCGCCTGTGACCCGCTCTAGCACCAGGAACATCAACTCGAACTGCTCGCCCGAATATCGTATGGGTATGGTAAAATCCCCGTTTTCTAGGCAGTCCGGATTCCTATATGCGCCCCTTTCGTTTATTGAAGGCTGGAACCTGCGCACTGTGATCCATCTTCCTCGATTGGTTCATTGCCCGTCCCAAAGTACTGATTTAGGTCCCCTACTTAGGCTCGCGTTAATCTTGCATTAAGCTTTTCCGCTGCGTTCAACAATAAGTGTGTTCTGCACGACACCAGTTTCCCTACGCTGGGTTTCCACGCTCTTTTCCGCAAGTCGTAATGCCGTTTCTGGGTTTCCGCTGCTTCTTCCATATTCTTATGTGCCTTCGACCGGATCTTCGTCAGCCTCTCCCATCTGCTTGAGACCGACTCCTTTACCAGACCAGAGCCTTGGGTGACCCTATCAAAAAGTGTTCCGGGGAGACGCAACTCCTTCCCATAGAGCAACTGCGACGGGATATAACCTGTTGATTCCAAAGTGCTACTGTTATATGCCAGGATCAACTCCGGCAGATCGTCCCATCCCATTTGGTCTGTTCCTCTCCGGTTGGTGCGCTCCGTAGGGTTCTGTTGCGTTGTTAATGGTGCGGTAAACTGCTGCTGTAGTCCCCAGCGGTCTATGGCTGTCTTCGTCTTCTTTCCTGTGAATTGCACTCCATTGTAAGATATTAGGACCTTCGGTGCTCCGACCCTTGTTATAACATTTTCCTCAACAATGTGTCTGCTGTCACCTGTCGCACTGCCGCGTGGTATTCCCATGCTATGTTCGGGGTAGTGGGCACACGAAGTCCACGCATAGTGTCTCCTACGGAGCGGTGGCGATCTTTGTTAGCATCTTTCCGGCTGCCAGTTGTTGCGACGTCTTGTATCGCTGTCAGGTTTCGCAATTTCTGACGAATTTTACGATATTCTTTTTCATTCCTGGCCAGAAATACTGTTTTATAATTCTCGTGGTATTTTTTAACGTACCCAAATGGCTCGCCGCTGCCTGGCAATAGTTCTCCCGGACTACGCTTCGGTTCTCCTCCGCGACACATACTTTCCAGGAATGTAGATCCTTCTCTCGAGAGCTCCTTTTATATTGCTTGTCGCCTTCAATCCTGTAGTCCTCGCTTCGAGTTTCCTGTAGACATTCCTCGTAATTTGTCATCAGCTATTCCTGTCTTGTCTGCAGCATTTTTATCCCATATTTTGGCGCGCGTGATAGTGCGTCCGTCACGGCGCTCAACTTTCCCTTCCGGTACCTAACCTCGAACTAGAATGGTTGCAGCCCCAGCGCCCATCTGGCTACTCTCCAAGATGGGCTCTCTATGTAACTTAACCATTTCAGGGCCTGATGGTCGGTCACAACCACGAATTCATAGCCTTCCAGATACATCCAATACATGTTGGTGCTCCATTATATGGCAAGGCACTCTTTTTCCGTAGAGCTGTAATTCTGCTCTGCTTTGCTCAATGCCGTGCTGGCGTAAGCTATGACGTGCTCACCTTCCAGGCTTTCCTGGGTCAGCACTGCCCCTACCCCAAAATCCTTTGCGTCTGCATCACGAACTGCCTTGTGAAGTTTGGGCATGACAGTTCCGATTGCTCACCTTCGTGGCGAACTATACAATCCTGTCTATGCTGTGCTCCTGAATTGGCTGCAGCTCTCGCACACTCTCCAGTTGCCTCCGAGTCAACTGCTCCGTCCGTCCATATCAAAAGCGCAGCTGCTTCATTACGGCCTGTACGTTGTTCGAATGAATAAGCAGTGATTTAACTGCCGTCCTCGCTTCACCCTTCAGGGCTTTCACTAGCCTTTGATTGCTTTCGAATGCTGTACAATGGTAGGCTGCCGTCGTCTCCAAGAACGCACACTGGAATATTGGCCATTCCTCAGGCTGACCTTCCGTGGCTGTGACACAATATTCGGCGAGTAGCTCACGGTTGTACAGCCTATACTTCGACTTGTTGACAATAATGGCGGCAAGCTTCCACCCAATTGTTAGTATATATTTGACCTACCGCAGTATCTCTTCCCTCTTTCGCTGATCGGAGTGTCTGTGGCGCCAAACTTAACGTAGCTTTAAACCACAATCAATGTGTCCAGATATATAGAAAGCGTAAACCGCGAGTACAATACTGAACAAAGGTGCGCCCTAGTGGCGCTTACTTCTCTATTCTGCGACATGCAATCTTTAGCGCACAGTCACTTAGACCCGAAGTGTAAATAATATCTAGTATTATTCAGTGGTTGGACGCCAGTTATATTTTTGTATCGACGTAACGTCTGAAATGTCCCGCGTCATGATCGTCGCTGGTCCCTCTCTTAGATATCCGTGGTCCCGCGCAGAGATTGGAGGCTGGTTGGCCGGTTACTCCTGCTAGGATATTTAGGTTGGAAGGGTGACTGCTCTGCTGTCCGCTGGCTTAGAGATATCTGAAATGATATAATGCTTAACGGCTGGTGCCGGAGTCCGTTTCATCATAAAATCAAACTGAACTTAAAAACTAACAAGAAAACAAAAGGCTGGCCGGATGCCCATGGCAGACGCTGACCAAGCACAAAATTGCAATAGTAGTACGATCGATGGCAAGGGCCGCCCATAGCGGTGCACTTTACTGGCCCAAGCTATCCGCCACTATAAGTGTGGTACACGTTTTAGGGTGGACCAACTAATGACCGACATAAGAAATATAAATGAAATATACAAAATATTTAAAGGTAAATAGGATATGACATAAAGGATTAATGTTAATAATAAGTATATAAAATTTAATGAATGAAATATAAAATTGGCCTGCTTAGCTTAGCTGTTAAATTTTCTAGGGTTTTTAGAATTGTTATATATGCTAATTTTTGGATTTGGTAATGCTGTATTTACAACTTTACACTCCTTACGTGGTGTCAATATTTTGGGCCTTTCAGCTCTTCCATGTTCTGCAGCAAATTCTCAAGTGCTTACATATTTTTAGAGCCGTTACTGGTAGAGTAAAAAAGTATATTAAATTCGTTGAAAAGTATGTAATAGGTAGAAGGATGTGTTGGACCCTATAACCCAATAAGACCCTATAAGACATAAAGAGTTGAGATAAGCAGGTAGATTATTGAGGTCCCTACGCAGCGCAGGGACATCATCCTATCACTGCAACTCTAACGCCCACAAATCACGGATAACTAAAATCTTTGAAATCTCAGGAACTACTAGAGCTAGGAAATTAAGATGTATAATGATGCCAGCGCATCTTACGGTGGTACCATTGTACGCGCTGTTACGCCCACCACGCTCCAAAGACGGGTTTCGTAATCTTCTAGAAAAGCTGATATCTCGGTAACTATAAGTGATAGAGTTCTGATTAAGAACGTTGGTTTTTTTGAGGCCCCAAATGTAAACGCCCACCCACGCCCACCCTATAGCCCACAAAAACCGGAAAATTAACATGTAAAAATGTTGGGAAATAAAAAAAACAAAGTTTAAGAATACGTATTTATGAGATGCCACTGCATTCCATTTGCCAAAGCTTTTTTTTAATGGAACATTATTTCGCTATTTATGAAGAAATTTAGGTTATAAGGCCTCACATGGGCAGTGACGTCACTATCAGTTACTCAACATTCTTTCTCCGATAATAGGTGGCGATTGGGGAATTTTAACTAGCAAAATGAATATTTAAAAATTGACTCGACTATAGCGTTTCCCCTTGTTTTTTATGCTGCCATAGGGTGGTTCGAATAATGCGATTTTTACAGTGTCTAAAAAGGGTTATTTTTTATGATTATATATATCATTGAAACGCATTTCCGCTGGGATTTATTTGGTTTTAGTGTTTTTTGGTTTTTTACAAGAAACATTGTATATCCCAAAGCACTTCTATAAATGTTGAATAGAAGCCTAATTATTTTATTAATTTTATTTTACGATGTCAAGCTTTATTTTGCCCACGCATGGTACGAAGTGGAGTGGATGCTGTAGGATTTTTCGTTGAAAATTATGTAACAGGTAGAAGGAAGCGTTTTCGAACCTATAAAGTATATATATATTCTTGATCAGTATCAATAGCGAAGTCGATTAAGCCATTTCCTCCTGTCCGTATAAACGCTGAGATCTCAGGAACTATAAGAGATAGGAAGTTAAGATTGAGTATGAAGATTCTTAAGGTCCGTACGCAGCGCAAGTTTATTTCAGCATCTTGTCACGTGATATCTCGGTAACTATAAAAGATAGAAAATCGGATTAAGCATGTAGGTTTTTATGATGCGAATTGCATTTCCCAACAAGCCACGCACACTCTAACGCCCACAAACTGCAAAAAACTGCGCCGTCAATAATATTATCGTTTATATCTTCGACTTTATATAACAAATTTTTGTCAATATCTATCGACTTACCATAGATTTTTTGAATCGGAACTTTATTACACTATTTTTGAAGACACGTAGGTTACAAGGCCTCACATGGGCAGTGACGTCATCATTAGTTACTCAACATGCTTTCTCTGACTTTCTTCTTCTTTGTGAATGTGTAAAACAGTTACAAGTGACTTATAGTGCGGCACTCGAATATAGCGTTTCATCTTGTTTATTTATCACACTTTCAATTGTGAAAGGTGACTTGACACCAATTTCGGGGTAACTGAGATTCTCTAAATATAATTTTATATTTTATATTACGTATACTATATTGATTATATTGATCCCGACCCATCTCATGCAATTGAAGCAATAAAGGCAGCGAAGCTAACAAAAAAACGTTAAACATAGCACACCGAAGCTTACACCAAAGTAGAATTCAGGAAAGAATAAGAAAATTATCTAATATTTAAGTAAAAACTTGTTAATTTTGTTTGAAATATAATCTCGAAATGTATATCTTGCATATGAGATAATACATTTTAATTTCCGATACATATTTCTCGATATATTAAAGAATAAGCTTAAAACTCACAGGTGTACGAATAAATTTTATTCTGACTGTATGTTTGACTGTATATTGTAATATATTGTAAACCGCGTGTTAAACTTCGATTTTCATTGGAATTGGAATTACATTCCCAGCAAGCAATTCGAAGATCGTTTTTCGATTTATCAGCTTGACGAGTCTTCTTCGAGTCGTTGAGATGATTAAAAAAAAGATTATTTTTACGCGCCACTAGAAAAAGACTCGAAAATGAGTCGTAAATGATCTTCAAATACGATATGTAAAATAGCAAAAACAAAATTGTGAAGCAATCGAAAATTAATCATCCAGATGATTGAAATGAGATTATTTTTTGCTTTGCATTAACATTCGGTGAGAGAACTTGTAGCTTAACCGCGCTCTCTCTCTTGGTTGTCTGTTCTCTGCTTTATCTCGTTTATCTTATTCAAACGGTACTTTTCACAACATTTTAAGTGTTTGGTGCAATGTTCTGCATTTTTACACTCAGTTTTAGTAACTTTGTGAACTCAGTGAGATTAGGTAAAGTAAAAAGAATATGTCGGCCAAAAATATTAGAAAATTGGCAAAAAAACAAGCCAAACAATTATTAAGCAAAGACATTGTGTTATCTGAATTACGACTTACAGCAGGATAATGAGAAATTTCAGCAATTTGTAAGTATTGTATATATGAATTTTAATTTCTTAATATAATTTGATTTAATTTTCAGAAACAATTTATAGGGATAACTGGTGGAGAAGAACCATCTCAATTCCTGAGAGCAGCAATTCGAAAAGTATTTTCTGACGAATTGGCTACAAATTATAGTTGGAAAAGCACCAGCACAAAGGCAAGCGCTGAAAAGTGCTTCCTTATAACAATAATAAAAAGTAAGAAAATATTTCTATTATTGGTGGAAAAAGTTAATATTTTTCTCCTTCTAGATATTTGCCACATAAAATTCAAATGGACGGATAAGCACATGAACATGGTTTTTCAAAAATGTTTCGTACATGCCAAAGACCTTGTTAGAAAAAGAAAGCGCGGGAAATAGTTTAGTTGCTTTAATATACATATATATATAATAAATAAAAAATTCAAGAAAAAATATTATTGAATATTTCACTTATTTTCGATTCTTATACGAGCGAATTTCGATTAAAATATGACTCAAAAAAGACTCGCTTCTTGCGAGGAAAATGAGTCGAAAGCGACTATTCCTGAGCTGTCGAATACGACTCTTTAGGAAGAGTCGCGGCTAGGGTTCCATTTTCTCCCGAAGAAAGTATCTTTTTCAATCAGAAAACGAAGAGTCGAAAATTTCTCAAATTCGATCAAAAATTTAATAAAATGCTTGCTGGGAAAAACTTTGGTATGCTTAGATTCGATGTGTTTCCGCTGGTCTTTATTGTTTTAGTACAATGAATGCACTTGTCGGTTCCGCCTGTTATATTTGAATAATATGACTCAACATTTACTTTTCCATTATATTTCTATCAAATCAAGTAATCAACGCTTTAAAATTAAGAGTCACCAAGGAAAAAATATCAAAAAATATAAAAAATATAGTGATTTCGATATTTGGGTAAAAAATATCAAGATATAAATATAAAATATTTAGGAAAATATCGATATATTGATATTTTGATATATTATCAACAACCCCAATTCGTACCTGATTAACCCTAAAATAATGTGATATTACTTTGTGCGTTGCAAAATGTGTTTTCACATTTTCTTTCTGTATATATGTACATACATAAAAATATACTTCTGTATGCTAATAAAATAACATTAAATGAAACTTGTGAATTTAAAGTCTGAACTTCTAAACAACTCTAGAATTTGGAATATTTTGAAAATATCGTAACGATATTTATTTTAAATTAAAATATTTATAATTCATTTAAGAAGTATCGGAATTATGACTCGATATAAAAATATCGTATACAAATATCGATATACTCATATTTTTATATATTTTTAACAACACTGTCGAAAAATTAGCTCGTCGCCGAAAACGCATTTTTCGAATTACGCTTCATTTAAAAATATTATTGAATAATTGCTTGTACTTGGTATTATATACGATGAAGTCGGGTGTAACATCCATTTTAAAACCATTTTCTGTTGCGAAACGGCATACGGCCAATGCAGTGACTTTGAACAAAGTTCGATTTGCTACCCCAAAAGAAAAAGGCCTTGTAGAATCCGTGCGCGTGGCCATAAATGAAGGGAATTTTAATATGGTTAAGGAGTTCACATTCTTTCTCCGTGAGGCAGAACTTACCGTATGCATATTTGTCAATCGGGAGCCTAATTTAATTCTAATTCGTATCTTTTTTCAAGGATGATGAAGTTTTTTTGATACTGAAAGATGCTAAAAGAATTGTTTACATTTTGAACACAGATTTTGTAAGCATCGTAGAAGCTTTATTTTCCCTTAACTGGAAAAAAAGGGGTACCAAGGTAATCGAAGCTTATACTGAGTTTTGCCTGGACATTATGGTGGCCCATAACAGATATTTACCCATAGGGATAACTAAATTAATTGCCCATTGGGTTCCTGGCGACTTGGACGAATCGGACTGGGTCAATGGACGCCCTTTAGAACATAAAAGACTTGAGCTTAAACCTACCCATGATGTACTGAACAGCATTTTAACTGTCGTGCCAATCGCATTCGATGTTGTCGTTGATGCCATTTCTGCTAAATTTCCCTATTTCAAAAAGCCTACTCATGTGACGGCGGGGTATCTGTTCAATGTCCTCTGGCTAATTGAGTACAAGCCCATATTTGAAGAACTAATTTTGCAGTTGGTTTTGCAAAAGTAAGTACTTTACTAAATTTTATGTGATTATTAACAATGGAAACGCAATACGAATTTGAGCAGAACAATGTTTCAGACAAAAGAAGTGTTTCCGACCATGTAAACGATATCAATACATAGAATTTGGTTTTTATACAGAGCGAAAACATAGAACAAACAGTATATTTTAAATTTAAAACTTGGTTTTTATATTTTCAGACTTTTAGTACTAGATGTTAACGCTCCACGAGATAAAATAGTTGTACAATCAGATGATGAGCATAAGAAAATTGAAAAAGAAATTGACGGTGTATCTGTATCTGTCGACACTTTAACGAATACAAGAACCATTGTGAATCATCCTGTCGGCGAAACGTTGGACATATGCCTCTCCATTGTTTATAAGTTTATAGATGGAAAATGTCGCATTAATCAACACAGTAGCAACCATCAGCGCTGGGCTGCTAATCGCATATTTAAAATGTTACTATATATATTTGACGAGGTTATTCTACCCTGCCACAATACGCATCATGTGCAATTTGTTCTGTTTTATGTGACTAGTATTCGGTTAGCATATTCTGAGGATTTTCTCGATTTACTTTGGCAGAAAGTTCAAAATCCCAACGCGTCGGCGATTATTCGTCAAGCTGCAGTAGGATACCTCGCTAGCTTTTTATCACGAGCCAGTGTTTTGCCTCTTAGGTAAGTGAATTACGAAATGAAATGTAGATAGACATAAAAAACTCGTTTGCTTTTTATTCTTAGCATTATAATTTTTTATTTAAAAAAAATGAGCGAGTGGGCGCATGTGTACATTGACGACTCGGACCAATATAACCACACTTCCTCGTTGAAGACAAATTTGGTTTTCTACTCTGTATGTCAAGCAGTGTTCTATTTGATTGCTTTTCGTTCCAAAGATTTGACTGCGACTTCAAAAGGTATGAACTTAAAAGCTATTCAATAACATTTATTAATATTTTAGCATTGACTCTCAAAAACGGTCTTGCAATGCCAAGAAGTTGTTTCTGTTATATTTGTAAATACAGTAGATTAGGGTAATAGGGACGTTGTTATAGGCGCACTAACCAAAAGGAGCTAATATTTATACCCGTTAATCGTAGAGTAAAAGGGTATACTAGATGCGTTGAAAAGTATGTAACAATTTTAAAATATTTATTTTGCTAGAGGAAATTCACAAAACGCCACGTATTATCAGAGAAAGCATGTTGAGTAACTGATAGTGACGTCACTGCCCATGGAGGCCATGTAACCTTAATTTTTTCATAAATAGCGAAACAGGGTTCCGATTTAAAAAATCTTTGGCAAATCGATAGATATTAACAGAAATAAGATACACAAGGTCAAACGAAGGCATTCATAATAATATTAGACGCCACAGTTTTCCGCGGTTTGTGGGCGTTAGGGTGTGCGTGGCGGGATGAAAACTCGTGACAAGTTGCAGTGGCATCTCTTAAATACGTATTCCTAACCACAACTTTGTAGCTCTTATAGTTTTTGTATTTTTGGTTTTTCGGGTTTTGTGGGCGTTAGAGTGGGCGTGGCTTGATCGCAATTTGCATTGGAAGCATCATAAAAACCTACATGCTTAATTCGAACTTTCTATTTCTTATAGTTACCGAGATATCAGCTTTTCTAGAAAATCCAAAAACAGTCTTTTGAGCCTTGTGGGCGTATGGATGGATATACATACTGAGTTTCAATTTTCTAGCCCTAATAGTTCCTGAGAATTTAGCGATTTTATTTATTCGCGGTTTGTGAGCGTTAGAGTGGGCGTGGCCGGATGCAATGGCGTATCTTAAATACGAATTCTTAAGCCTAACTTTCTAGCTTATATAGGTCCCGAGATTTTTGCATTTTTGTTTTTCAGGGTTTTGTGGGCGTTAGGGTGGGCGTGGCTAGATGATTAATTTGCATTTGGGGCATCATTATATCTTTTATAGTTACCGAGATATCAGCTTTTTTAGAAAATGCGAAAATCGTCTTAAGAGCCTTGTGGGCGTATGGGTGGATGATGCGCTGGCATCTAAAGATTATACATTCTGAATTTCATCTTTGTAGCTCTAATAGTTCCTGAGATTTCAGTGATTTTACCTTTTCCCGATTTGTGGGCAGGGCAGGATGCTGTAATAAACTTGTGGTGCGTAGGGACCTCAAGAATCTTCATGGTTAATCTTAACTTTGTACCTTTTATAGTTCCTGAGTTCATTCGGACAGACAGACGGTCATGGCTCAACGGTCTTCGCTATTCATCCTGATCATGAATATATACAGTGGATCCAAGCTTATTTCGTTCAAGAAAAAATCGAAGTTTATATTTGATACTGCTACTAAACCAGCAGAGATATCAAAAAAGAAAGAAAGCAGTAATGTTAAGAATGTCGCATATTATTAAAATAATCACAAAAGTTTTTTCTAATTTAAAAAACAAAAGAACTTTTCATACAAAAACTAAAAAATAGGGCAATTCTGACGCACAAGCTTATTTCGTGAAAGCACTTTAATGGTAAATAACTGTAAACTACGACTTTTACATCCATTTTTTTTCTTAATTCTAGTAAAACTATATTAACAAAAGCATATTTATAAGTTTTCGAGGCTGGGGGGACCGAAAAATTACGGATTAACGAGGATTTTCAAACTATGGCGCCACGAACAACTATTGAGCAAAGCGAATTAGTCCTTAAACATTTTAAGGATGGGAAAACCCAGGAAAAGGTTGCCCCAAGCCTTAGTACAAACCCATACATAACCCAAATGCTTTTTGCGAAAATCGGATGGCAGATAAGGACCGTGAACAAAATTTTTTTTAAATTAAGAAAATGGAAAAAAATAAAAAAAATGGATTTAAAAATCGTAGTTTAGAGTTATTTACCATTAAAGTGCTTGCACGAAATAAGCTTGTGGGTTTGCCCTATTTTTTAGTTTTTGTATGAAAAATTCTTTTGTTTTTTAAATTAGAAAAAGCTTTTGTTATTATTTCAATAATATGCACATTCTTAACATTACTGAGTTTAAATTTTTTTGATATCTCTGCTGGTTTAGTAGCAGTATCAAATATAAACTTCGATTTTTTCTTGCACGAAATAAGCTTGGATCCACTGTATACTTTATAAGATCAGAAACGCTTTCTTTTACCTGTTACATACTTTTCAACGAATCTAATAATTTACTCTACGAATAACGGGTATAAAAATAGCTTTTAAATTAAAACTTTTATTTATAGTTATTTTTTAATTGAGTTAAAAAAAAATGTAGACAAATAAATTTGAAACTTAATAACAGAGTATCGGGTTTCTAATTAATTCACTGTTATCGAATATATACATCATTGATGACAATAAGCACGGCCCCAAGTACCAAGTTTCATATCGAGTAAACAATTATTTTAATTTTAAAGAAAAGCGACAACATTTAAAGTTGGGATTAAACATATAGTTTTTAATGATGCCACCGAAGCGTACAATTTATTTCGCAACTGGCAAAGCCCACTCTAATAAATATTCTAAAATTGGATAAACAGTAAGGGGTATCTCATAGTCCCATCACTTAACTGTAGCGTTTCTTCTTGTTTCATTATAGGTTTGCACTTTCTCCAATCCCTTCAATTATCTCGCCTCGCTATGTGTCACTTAAATCCACTGCGTTATTGCATAAGCCCAGTGGCTTCGGCATTTGCTGTTGTCACGAGAACATACCAGCTGGCCTACTGTCACACTGTTTTGGACCGTAACTCTCGGCGTAAACTTGCCACAGTGTATGGCCATGACAAGTTTATGCCCGAGGACACTCTTGAATCGTTTTTTCCCTTTGATCCTTATTTGCTAAAGCTGTGAGTATTGCATGGTTGCCTGCACATAAATTATTTATTTATTTTTTTTTTCAGTTCAAACCAGTATATTGAGACCAACTATAAAGTTTATCATAGAAATGAAACGTATGGTTATATCGGTAGGTCCGTCGAAAAGCCGATTTCTAGGAAACGTGGTGATGCTGAAGTGGTCGAGGAAGACGAATTTATTATAGCAGACAAACGACAAAAGCGTTTCGAATTGTCTAAGTGCCAGGAGCTCGATAAACAATTATTCTTCGGATCTCCGCTGGCGTATAAAACAAAGCTGTAATTGAATACCTCGGATTTCAATATCTTAAATGAAGTATTTGAACTATCAATAAATATAAAAATGTTAATAAATAATAATAATTATTAAAAATATAAAATATTTAAAAAAGATAGCAAACTGAAGGCTAACATGAAACGATTTCGCAGCTTCGCAGACTAATTTTTAAGTACTTTTATGTAGTTGCAGATACTGTAAAATATAAAAGAATATAATTTTACGCCTAGTTATATCCAATGTATATAACAATTATAAAGAAGCGCTTTAGTTATTTCGTATTAGCGCTGGGGCCCAAAACGCAAACTAAAAACTAAAATCGCTAAGATTTCGAAAGTTGGGGTTGAGTATGAGTATACTAAAAGGGTATATTAGATTCGTTGATAAGTATGTAACAGGTAGAAGGATGCGTGTCCGACCCTATAAAGTATATATATTCTTTATCAGTATCAATAGCAATGTCGACGCTGAGATCTCTGTAACTATAAGAGATACAATGTTGAGAATAACTATGAAAATTCTAGAGGTCCCTATGCAGCGCAAGTTTATAACAGCATCCAGGCTCTAAATATATATTCTTGATCAGTATCAATAGCGAAGTCGATTGTGCCATTTCCTTCTTTCCGTATGAACGCTGAGATCTAAGGAACTATAACAGATACAAAGTTCAGATTAACCATGAAGATTTTTGAGGTCCATACGCAGCGCACGTTTGTCTCAGCATCCTGCAACGCCCACTCTAACCCCCTCAAATCGCAAATAACTAAAATCGCTGAAGTCTCAAGAACAATTAGAGCTCGAATGCTGAGATTAAGTATCTAAGTATCTCGTATAATCTTGATATGCCAGCGCATCTTAATACTACCAAGCCGGGTTTCGCATTTTGTAGAAAACCTGATATCTCGGTAACTACAAGTGATAAAAATGTGGGATTAGGCATGTAGTTTTTTACGATGTCCCCAACGCGAATTATTTCAGATCTAGCCACGCCAACTCTAACGCCCACAAATCCCGGAAAACCAGAAATGCAAAAATCGCGAGAGGAAAAATTATAGTATATGGATTCGTTTGACCTTGTATAACATACTTTTTCTATCTCTTAACCAAAGATTTTTCAAATCGGAACATTATTTATTATTATTATTTAACAAAATTAAATCTAGTATACAATACTAAATCTAATGAATTTCTTGAAGAGTACTAGCTGCTAGGGCCTACGACTAAAGATTAAAATTATTAAATTAAAGATACTTAAATATTTAGGTTGGTTCTAACGACAAAATGATAAGAGTTCATTATGGTTTCTTATGAAATTATATTTAAACTATCGGAAGGTTTTTTGACCGAAAAGGAGGGCCCTGACGCTCTCCAACAGACGGCATGAGATAAGCAGATGGTCAATTTCGAGGTGTTCGCCGCAAAGGCAGACGGGACGAGCTGTTCCAGTAAGGATATGTTCGTGTGTTGCACGGGTGTACCCGATCCGAAGGCGGATGAATGTTGAACATGCCCGCTTTCCAAGGTGCGCAGGCAGAGAAACTTTTGTAAAGGTATTGTTCATGGAAAAATATCGGTGGTCATATAGGTCCCATTCTCTGATTTGTTTGTCCTTAAGGTGGAGACGGATACGATTTCTTAAGTCCTTGCTGTTAAAAGGAGTAAAAAGAAACGATGGTTTTAGCCGTATGTCCTGGGCCTGGTCTGCTTGTTCGTTGCCATGGACACCTTGGTGGCTGGGTGTCCATACAAGGGTTATATTGTTTAAAGAAGAAAGCCTTTTTATATCCACGATTGCGGGATCGGTATGGTACCAATTCCGTAAGGAAGATAAGGTGGAAAGGCTATCGGTACAGATTACAAAGTGTCCCGAGTGTTTGGTGGCAAAGAGACAGGCTTGTAATTGTAATATGACGAAGGCTTCCGAAAGAGGGTCTGTAATTCAGATCTGGTGGTATTATTTTTTGAGCCGTTGTACATATCAAGGATCACATTAGGTTTTGTGCGGTTCCAATAGGCTGGGGGCTTAGCAGTATTCTTATGATTGGGCGGGAAAGGCGAAGCTGCGTTGTGAAGTTGACACATCGCCTAAGAGTTGATATGACTTTGTAATTCCGTTTTTGCTTGAACATGGCTGAGAAATCCTTCCTTAGTAGAGCATTTTTTGTTAAATCCATTTTGGAAATGAGCTGCATGGTCATTTCTTCTCTGCGAGCCTGTATGCTCGGTAGACCCGACTCAGACAAAATGCATGCGGTAGGTGAGGTAGGAAAAGCGTTTAAAACACGTCGGATTGCACCACGGTAGGGAGCCTGCAACTTGTTTAAGTGTGAGTTTGCACACCATCCGTAAAATGGTAGGCCGTAATCCATTTTGGAGACCATCAGAGCACGAGTAATTCCTATTAGTGTATTTGGATGACAAAAATTTTATAATATTCCGGAGTTAAAAATTTGATTATATATTCCTAAAAGCCTGGTTTTAAGAGAGAGTGGTATTTCGTCAAGCATTGGGTAGGAAATCCGGTCAGCCCCTGGGGTTTTACCCTTTGACCCGGCTAATGCATATTCGATTTCGGCTAATGGGAAGTTCTTTTCTAAGCATTTGGCAGGTGATGACAGAGCTGTCAGAAGATAGGACTGCGATAAATAGGGGTCTATTTGGTGAACGTATTCGGCTGAAAACTTACTGTCAGCCGAATAGTTTGACCAAAGATGCCCGATCTCTTCTGCGATGTCCTGAGAACGTGTTACGACACCTGAATCGCACTACAAAAATCGAAACGGCTGTGGTGGTACGCCGCCCACCCTCTTTACGACGGACTAAACTTTTTTAGAGGAAGATAAAGGGGATATCCTGGAGGTGACATTTTCAAGACAAGTCCTTTTGGCAGCAAGTACAAATTTTTTAAAAACTGCATTGGCTCTTTTATAATTTATCAATGCGAACAGATGTTGCTTTTCATTTCGAAGCCTCAGGAGGTTGTAATTCCACCAAGGAACTGCAGCTTTGCGCACAACCCGTTTGGTTTGTGAAATATTGCTGTTACGTTTGCTGCTTGTCCCAGTGTGCTGGACGCTGGGAGCGGGAAGCGAAGAGCAATCAGCTGATCGCTCTCGCACTTTGGGACGATAAGTGGGAGCGAGCACGAAAGCGGGAAGAGGGCAAAGACAGTCGTCTTCGGCAAGCGAGAGAATGCACACGTTGCATCTAACGCGGGACGCTATTTGCATATGTTGTATATTAATAAACGTGTATTTTGTGAATTTATCGTTTAGTGTTTTGCATTGCCTGGGAACCACTCTTACATTGACCCTTTGATAGTCAAATACAAGGGGACACAACTATACATGATGGCCCATGAGGGGATCCTGCAATCACAAACATAATCGAAAATTCTTAATTCTGTGTAAATAAGCGCCGTTAGATCGCAACTGCGTTAAGTTTGCCAGTCCGCTCTGCATACCGCAAAAATTGAAGAAAAAGAAAACGGCGATACATAGACGCTGCTACAGAAGTTTCTGGACCTTTCTGGACGTTTTCTTCTCTTCTTTTGGGCTGGATGCTTGTGCATAACGGAATCGCAGCTACACCTAGACTACAGGGCGGCGGCTCTTGCACGAAATAAGCTTGGATCGACTGTATAAGTTAACACACCCAGTTCCCAAATTGGGAAACTGCCGAGTTGCGGGCCACATCCGGTGGCCAACACACGGAATAGGGAAACTGCCGACTCTGCACTCCGGGGACAATCACCCGGAGCCCGGCCAGAAGTGGTCAACATGCGCAACGAAGAAACCGCCGACTCTGCACTCTGGGGGCAATCACCCAGAGCCCGATCAGAAGTGGCCAACACGCGCATTAAAGAAATCGTTGACTCCGCACTCTGGAGTCTATCCCACGGTTCCCGGCCAGAACACTCGCGCAGCGATTGATCGTAAGCACCTGGATAAAATTGCTGATCCGGCACTTTGGCGACAGCGCTGCGACCGGACGAAGACTTCTAGCTGCAGCCGGATCGGATATTTAGTTTAGTTTTTAAATTCAGACTACACAGCCGTAGCTGTGTAATTATCAAAGAACCAATTATATTATCCTCTACCCTAACAGGTTTAGGAGAAATAATTTGTAACTCTCTAATATTGTAAACACAAATACTATCCTTTACCTTAATAGATTCAGGAAAATAAATAAGTGAAATAAATAAATTGTTTTATTACTTAACGGATCCTTTCCCCAACGGGCACGAGTGAAAGTGAGAAATCGGTCTAAATTAAATATTTAGGTTGGTTCTAACGACAAAATGATAAGAGTTCCTTATGGTTTCTTATGAAATTATATTTAAACTATCGGAAGGTTTTTTTTGATCGAAAAGGAGGGCCCTGACGCTCTCCAACAGACGGCATGAGTTAAGCAGATGGTCAATTTCGAGGTGTTCGCCGCAAAGGCAGACGGGACTAGCTGTTTCAGTAAGGATATGTTCGTGTGTTGCATGGGTGTGCCCGATCCGAAGGCAGATGAATGTTGAACATGCCCGCTTTCCAAGGTGCGCAGGCAGAGAAACTTTTGTAAAGGTATTGTTCATGGAAAAATATCGGTGGTCATATAGGTCCCATTCTCTGATTTGTTTGTCCTTAAGGTGGAGACGGATACGATTTCTTAAGTCCTTGCTGTTAAAAGGAGTAAAAAGAAACGATGGTTTTAGCAGTATGTCCTCGGCCTGGTCTGCTTGTTCGTTGCCATGGACACCTTGGTGGCTGGGTGTCCATACAAGGGTTATATTGTTTAAAGAAGAAAGCCTTTTCATATCCACGATTGCGGGATCGGTATGGTACCAATTCCGTAAGGAAGATAAGGTGGAAAGGCTATCGGTACAGATTACAAAGTGTCCCGAGTGTTTGGTGGCAAAAGACAGGCTTGTAATTGTAATATGACGAAGGTTTCCGAAAGAGGGTCTGTAATTCAGCTCTGGTGGTATTATTTTTTGAGCCGTTGTACATATCAAGGATCACATTTGGTTTTGTGCGGTTCCAATAGGCTGGGGGCTTAGCAGTATTCCTATGATTGGGCGGGAAAGGCGAAGCTGCGTTGTGAAGTTGACACATCGCCTAAGAGTTGATATGACTTTGTAATTCCGTTTTTGCTTGAACATGGCTGAGAAATCCTTCCTCAGTAGAGCATTTTTTGTTAAATCCATTTTGGAAATGAGCTGCATGGTCATTTCTTCTCTGCGAGCCTGTATGCTCGGTAGACCCGACTCAG